GAAAGAGTGATAAGAGAGAAACACAGAATCTGTGGCATATGTGTTTGCAGTCGCTGGCAGTCTGGGAGGAGAGGCCATTAGTAGAAAAGATTAGAACCAGGCAAGTTCAGAGTCAGGAAAGACAACCGAAGGATCTCAACTGTGTCAGATGCCATCAAGAAGTCCAGGAGGAGGGGGAGGAAAGCTCCAGACCACTCCCTAGATGTGGAGATGAGGGGTTCACCCTTAGTGGCCAAGAGACACATTCCAGGCAAATGCTGGAGACAAGAGACAGACTTCATTTAGGGAGTTTGAGGAAGGTTGCATTTATCGGACACCTATTACATGCCTAGCATGGTGCTATGAGTTATGGAAATTCAAAAAGCATTTGGAGTTCACTTCAGCGTTGGTTGGTGAGTGAAGACTAACACATATAGGTCCTTTAGGGAATAGTGGGAGATTATTGTATGAATTGCTCAAGTGGGTGAGACCGACAGATGGGGGTTTAAGTTGTTGGGCGTCAGCCTGTTGGTTGACCTAGGGTGACATTCCTTACGCTGATGGTGACAGAAGAGAAAAACTCCAAAGATGGTCAGCCGGATCCTTGCCTTCCTCTTCTTGCCTCTTGGCAAGTTTCCTTTCCCAGAAGTGTTCAGAAACACGATTCTTGTCCTGATATCCCTTGGGTTTGCTTCCTTTTTGTTATTTACTGGTGAAAAATTAATATTACTCTTTACCCCGTACGCATTCTCAATCCAAGGCGTGTTTTTTTCATCAGTGGGTTTGTGTTTGGTTGATTAGTTATTCATGTATAATGTAAGATGACAAGAGCTGTGATACACAGAAATGATTGTGGTGAGTGCAGGCATACAAGCTCTGTGCTTGGCTTCTTTCCTTCTTTTTTTTTTTTTTTTTTTTGGTGGGTGTGGGTGGGTAGGCAGGTTAGTAAGGCATTTGGATTACTTGCAGATGGTTGAAATTCTCCTCTTACCAAACTGGTGACTGAAGCAAAATAGAGGGAATTAAAATAAATGGCGTTTGTTGCACATCCCCTCAGCTTTCTTGAGCAGGACCTCTGCATCTGTCCTGTGCAATCGCTCAAGTCACTTGTCTTCTCTAGACTTAAGTTTCTCCATCTGTTTCACATCCAATGTATCTTTTGCATGTTGGCTTCCTTCATAGGTTACATTTTTGCAAAGGGAATCCAAGTTATAGGCTAGCTCTTCCTCTGACTTGCCCCATGGGACTTCCCAGGACATGTTCCCTCACAGTAGCCAGAGAGGTCATTGCAAATCAGATCGCTCCAACGGCTTCTCACTTGTACTCAGCCCTTTTGGTGTAGCCTAAAAAGCTCCAACGGCTTCTCACTTGTACCTAAAAAGCTCCAACAGCTTCTCACTTCTACCCAACCCTTTTGGTGTAGCCTAAAAAGCCCTGAATGATCTGATCTTGGCCTATATCATCTTTTCCAGCCTATATCATGCCACTATCTCTCAAACAAAATGAATAATTTCCCCCCTTGGGCATTTTTTGTTTTGTTTTTTGCGGTACACGGGCCTCTCACTGTTGTGGCGTCTCCCGTTGTGGAGCACAGGCTCCGGACACACAGGCTCAGCGGCCATGGCTCACGGGCCCAGCTGCTCCGCGCCATGTGGGATCTTCCCGGACCGGGGCACGACCCTGTGTCCCCTGCATCGGCAGGCGGACTCCCAACCACTGCGCCACCAGGGAAGCCCCTCCTCGGGCCTTTTGCATGTGCTCTTCTTTCTCTCCTCACTGTATGGATATCTCCTTATTACTTTTCAAATCTTAGTTCAAATACCACCTCCTCAAAAATACCTTTTCTCATCAACGTCTCTAAAGTTGCCTCCCCATCTACTGCTTTCTAGTTCATTGCCTTAAATTTCCTGCTGGGAGCTCACATGAGGGCCTCAATTATCCTCTGTTTGGGTTTTTCCATGTGGCAGCATGGGCTTCCTAATAACATGGAAGCTGGATTCTAAGAGGGAAGAAGCAGAAACACCAAAATCTAAAATATTCTCCACCTATTCCCAAATAATTTTCTAGCACATTATCCTATGTTATCTATTTTCTCACTCTCTGAAAGTATTGTGGTAATTTATGTTTCCTTGCTAATTGCCTGCTCTCTCCCAGGATCTATAAGGATATAAAATCCATGAGATTAGAAACCTTGCTTATGTTCATTGCACGTGCCAAGCACTAAGGAAGCACCCAGTAAACCTTCGATGAATAAGTGAATTTTAAATGTTTAGAAATAAAGAGAAAGAAACAGTTAAGATGGACACAAAATGCAATGAAACGTACAAGCAAACACATGTACACCAAAAAAGTCAGGCTGCAGGGAACTTTTCAGGACGAGAACTACAACCTGAAGGCTAGAGAGCCCACCACACAGCGAGCCAGGCACGGATGAGCTCCTACTGGCAGCCCCTCTGCCTCCTGCTGTTCAGAACTTTCAGAGTTGGACAGGGAAGGGGGTGACTCAGGCACAGCGACCCAGGATACATAGGAACCTGTAAGTGACCAGGATCAGCACACAGAGCTAGAACTTAAGGGGAAGTAGGTTGTGCCCAGATGTCACAGGTCACATCTGGGGTGTGGGATGATGTCAGTAACGCTTCCTTGAAGTCCTCTGCCTGGTGTGGGAGGGCTTTGCTTGCTTTACCTGAGCCTAATCCTGCAGAGGAAAATGATCTTGGCTCAGCCCAACTCAAATCAGCACCTACTATGTGAAAAACACTGTGCTACATGCAGTGGATGATGGAGAGGCGAAAGGACTGGGACATGTGCCCAGGGTGAGAACAGCCAGTGGGTGGATCAAGCAGGTACAAGGACGGCTCCTAAACGGGACGGAGGGGCTCAGTGGCAGGGGAAGGAAGCCAGCAGCCCCAAAGTTACAGAGAAGGGAGAAGCCGAAAGGCTTCCCAGAAGGACCAGTGTGGGAGATGCCTGGCTGGCAAGGAGGGCCCTCCAGAGTCAGGGAAGCCAGGGCACATTTGGAGACCTCTAGATGCTCCCTTAGGTTGGAGGAGGGTAGGACCTGCAGGTAAGTGCAGGAAGAGCAATTCACTACCAAAAGTTGCCGTAACCAATCCCTGAAGCCAATGGCTGGAGTCTTGGGCTGAGAGCAAAGGAGACGTGGTTTTCCACGTGGAAGATGGGAGACAGTTTTACTAGAAGCTTTACTAGAAGGGGAGTGCATGCTGTGCAGGCAAACCCACAAGAGGCACTGCAGTGACGAAATGTAAGTCCAAAACGGTGTCTGGGGTGTGTTGTGATTTGAACAAAATAATAAGTGACCATTGGGAGGGGTGTGTGGGGGGGGCAGGGAGTAGAGGGTAATTATAAAAGCAGCAGAAGGATTTTTTATTTCGATCTGGACAAACTGATTCTGAAATTAATGTGGAGTACACCCACGTTCATAGCAGCATTATTTACAATAGCCAAAAGGTGAAAGCAATAGCCAAAAGGTGAAAGTGTCCATCCACAGATGAATGGATAAGCTAACTGTGGTCCGTATATACAGTGGAAAACTATACACTTATAACAAAGAATGCTACAATGAGGATGAACCTTGAGGATATTATGCTAAATGAAGTAAGCCAGACACAAAAGGACAAATACTATATGATTCTATTTATAGGAGGTACTGAGAATAGTCCAATTTATAGAGAAAGCAAAATGGTGGTTGCTAGGGTCTGGGGGGAGGGGAAAACAGGAGTTATTGTTTAATGGGTATAGAGTTTCAGTTTGAGATGATTAAAAATAAATTCTGGATGAGTGGATAAAGAAGATGTGGTATATATACACAATGGAATATTACCCAGCCATAAAAAAGAATAAAATAATGCCATTTGCAGCAACAGGGATGGACCTAGAGATTATCATATTAAGTGAAGTAAGTCAGAGAAAGACAAATATCATAATCACCTAAATGTGGAATCTCAAAAAGTGATTCAGGAGAATTCCCTGGTGGTCCAGTGGTTAGGACTCTGCACTTCCACTACAGGGGACATGGGTTCAATCCCCAGTCAGGGAAATAAGATCCCACAAGCTATGTGGGATACACGAAAAAATACACACCAAAAAAAGGTTAAAAAGAAAAACTTATAAAAAAATAAAGGATACAAATGAACTTATTTACAAAACAGAAATAGACTCACAGACATAGAAAACAAACTTATGGTTACTAAAGAACCATAATTTCTTTGGGAGGAGGGATAAGTTAGGAGTTTGGGATTAAAATATATACACAATTATATATCAAATAGATAACAACAAAGGACCTACTGTATAGCACAGGGAACTATACTCAATATCTTAGAATAACATGAAGTGGAAAAGAATCTACAAAAGAATATATATGTATGTATAACTGAATCACTTTGCTGTACACCTGAAACTAACACAACAATGTAAATCAACTATATTTCAATTTGAATTTCAATTTAAAATTTTTTTTAAAGTTCTGTAAATGGATAGTGGTGATGGTAGTACAATAATGTGAATGCACTTAATGTCACTGAATTGTACACTTCAAAAGGGTTAAATGGTAATGTTTATGCAATGTATATTTTACCATAATATTTTAATTTAATGTGAAGAAATAAGTCAGGAATATCCAGGGTAGTACTGAGGAAGAAAAATAATGAGGAGATGAAACCCTACCAGATATTAACACCAGTTGTTAAACCTCAAGAATTAAAAGTGTGGTGTTGGCACTTGATTACACAGACAATGAAACAGAAAGCCCAAAGATGGACTGAAATAATTCAAGACTTTTGTGTGTGGGAACGGTGGCATCTGGAAACAGCGGGGAAACAGAGCTGAGACTAACTGGAGCCATCAGGGAAGTTGGGTCCTTACCTTGTACTTATAGAAGGAAGACCTCTGATCAGAGATGAGACTCAAATCTGAACCACACAAATACTAGAAGGAACGAGGGGAGAATTCTTTTTTAACCTCAGAGGGTGAGCATGTACCCACTGTGACTTGGAGTCAGTCCTTTAGCCTTCCCATGCCTATCTCATGGGGTTGTTGTGAGCACTGTGGGAGTTAATACCTGAAAAGTGGTTAGAAAAATGTCTGGCACCCACAGCAGATTCAATCACTGACCACCACCACCACAACCACCACCATTACCACCACCATGACCATCTCCACCACCATCACCACCACCATCACCACCCCCACCACCATCACCACCACCACCACCACCATCACCACCACCGTCAATCACCACCACCATCATCACCACCACCACCATCACCATCTTCACCACCATGACCACTCCCACCACCATCCCCACCACCACCATCACCACAATCATCACCATCATCACCATCACCACCACCATCACCATCTCCACCACCATCACCATCCCAACCACCATCACCACCACCACCATAACCACCACCACCATCGCCACCACCATGACCATCTCCACCACCATCAACCACCACCACCACAACCATCCCCACCATCACCATCATCACCATCACCATCACCATCAAAAAGAATGAGGACGTTTTATAAACTGATATGGAAAAAGTATCCAGATGTATTATCAAGTGGGAAAAAAAGCCCAGGTGCAGAGGGGTGTGTGCACAATACACTATTCCTGGTTTTAAAAAGAGGGCAGTAGAAGAAAATACACATGCACGTATATACCTAAATACTTGTTGTAAGTGTATAATTACACACACATATCTACATATATTTGTAGGTGTATATTTACACACACACATACACAATAAACATCTTTGATCAGTCCACTGCATTGCAAAACTCCACGGGGCATTATTCCATTGTGTTCCTTGTCAGTGGCATCCTAGGAGCTCTATATAAATGGCGTCCCTTGGAGTTGTGTACCACAATGGTCCTGGTCACTTAACTGCACGTGGTAACATGTCTCTGGGAGAACACAAAGTACCAAATAACACTGGCTACCTGTGGGGAAGGACATAGATGGCTTGGAATAGAGGTGTGAAGGAGAATTTTCACAATACAGCATTTGTGTCTTTTCAGTCTGGAACCATGTGCATCTGTTATGGAAACTCCTCCTCCCGAAAATAAATAAATAAAAGGAGTGGTGAAAATAAATAAATGCACACATACATAAAAATAACAATACACGTTAGAGAATTTGGGAAATACAGAAAAGTATGAAGGAGAGAATTATAATTAAGCATGATTTTTCTGGTTGTCTCTATGTCTGTCTGGAGTGCTTGAAGGATAGCTTCATGTAGGGCAGGAGGGCCCCAAGGCCATCTCTTGCCCCACAACCTGGTTTGTAAATAAAGTTTTATTGGAACATAGCCACATACATTCAGTTATTTAGCATCTGTGGCTGCTCTCCTGAAACATGTAGTTGTTGAGTAATTTTGAGTAGCTTTCTTGTTCAATCTGTAAATCTAGTTCAATCTATAAGTGCCCTGGCATAATTCCACTAAAAGGCACAGTGAAGAAGTAAGATGATAGCACAGAGTTAAAGTGAACATATTAGGGCTTCCCTGGTTGCGCAGTGGTTGAGAGTCCGCATGCCAATACAGGGGACGCGGGTTCGTGCCCCGGTCCGGGAAGATCCCACATGCCGCGGAGCAGCTGGGCCCGTGAGCCATGGCCGCTGAGCCTGCGTGTCCGGAGCCTGTGCTCCGCAACGGGAGAGGCCACAACAGTGAGAGCCCCGTGTACCGCAAAAGAAAAAAAAAAAAAAGAAAAGAACATATTAGTTTGGATTTAGAACTTAAAAAAAAAAAACAAAAAACAAGCAGCAGAGATGTTCCCCACTATTAAATAATATTAGGATAAGTGATAACAACTGGACTTGTTTGCGTACAATGAGAAACAGGAATATAATCTGAATTGAAGTACAAATAATGTGCCAAGATAAATTAAAGATTATCAAAGTGGAGAAAATGAAAAAGAAAATATTCTTAGAAATGAGCTGGGCCTCAATAAGTGTAATGTTAAAATAATTCCCAATCTTATGATACAGGGTAAGATATAAGAAATGTGAGAAAAAACACATCTCTTATGTTAAAATCTCACCAGACATTCAGTCTCTCAATGAGCAGGGGGGAAATTCAAAAGTCATATGAGACACAGGACAATTATACTTTGGGCAGGACTGTCCTGCGCATTGTAGGAGTCTAGCATCCCTGGCTCCCCACTAAATGCCGATAATGACCCCATTCATGATGATAACCAAAACAACTCCTTCAGCTTTTTTAGACTCCCCTGAAGGGCAGTACCACCCTCCTTGAGAACCACAGATACATGTGAAAGCAATTTGAAAAGTTAAAAACACTTTTCAAATATATAGTATGATTAATCTATAAAACTGCAGTGGATTTTCAGTGAATACTGTATATCTACACTATTAAAATGAAGACTATTGAATTATAAAACATGAGTGTTTTCTTTTTTCTTATGAAACTGATTTCCATTCCTGGAAAAACAGCAAGTGAATCAATATACTTACTGAAAACAACTAAAAATTCGGGATTTTCTTAACAGCATCAATGAACGAGCAGAAAAGTTAAGAATTCTTAGTCCAGGGATCGAGTGAAGTGGAGCTCAGAGGTGTAAGTAGAGCCCAGCACTCCAAGGGCATTTGCTGAACCTGGTGAACTTGAACTTTGGTATTCATGGCCTCATAAGACTTTGAAAAAGCAGCCAAAGCCCCAGGGCTGTTAAAGATGGGGAGTCTAATAAGACATTTTCCAGCATGAACATGGGACATCTGAAAGGCTATGCGTGGAGTATAAGGGTGAATTTAGAAACACCTTATAGACCCTCCTGGAGACTGCAAGGAAAATCTGTCTCAAACTTTGCACTGGAGAGGATAAGATGTGTGTGTATGTGTGTGTGGGGGCGGGGGGGGACACATGTGCCAGGAACGTCTATAAAACATTCAAACCTTAAGCTGTCCATGACACAGTTTATAGCAAAAGATCCACACTCTCTGGGTGGTCTGAATACCCTAAGTGGAGGATATAACTGGAGTCATCCCAGGAACTAGTAATGCCTCCAGCACCTGGCAGAACAAAAGTGAATCCTCTATAGAGGAAGCCAAGTTTATCCTAGACCTCAAAGTATTCCCACATATAAAATGTCAAGGAAAATGATCAGATTACAGTTCCAATACACATGTACACACACAGAGAAATAGCATGAGCAAATGACTACATGACACAAAAGCATGGGGTGACTAAGTGGGAGGGAGGAAGAGAGGGAGGAGGGAAGGAAGGAAGGACGAAAGGAAGGAAGAGAGGAAGGGAGGAAGGAAGGAAGGAAGGAAACAGTGGAATAAGGCACCAAGAACTAAGAGCAAGAAGCAGCAGATGGCTGGAAGAGACCTGCAAAAACTTCAGATCCTAGAATAATAAGATGAAGACTATAAAATAACCATGTTTATTTAACATGTTTAATAAAATACACACATGAAAATATACAAGAAAAAGACACTATTAAAAAATGATCAAGCAATTTTGAAAAAGAACCAAAAGAACTTCTGGGGAAAAGAGAACTCCATGGACAGATTTACTAGAATAATCATATGTGACAAGAATGAGTACACTGAAAGACTGACCTGAAAAAACATTCCCATATTACAGCATAGAGAGACAAAGTGAAAATACGAAAGAGGAAAAAAAGACATGGAGGATAAATCAAGAATTTTAACAAACATCTAATTAAAGTTCCAAAAGGAAAAAAGAAAGAAGATGGGGCAGAGGCAATATCTGAAGACATAAGGGCTGCAATTTTTCAGGACTGATGAAATACATCAACCCATGGAATCAAGAAATCCAAGGGATTCAAAGAAGGCATATATATACAGTCCACCACAGTGAAATTGCAGAACCCCAAAGACAAAGAGAATATCTTAAGAGCAGTAAGAGAGAAAAGACAGATTATTTTATTTTAAAGAAGTGACAGATAACTTACAACTCAGGAACAATAGCATTCAAAAGACAATGTATGGGGCTTCCCTGGTGGCGCAGTGCTTGAGAGTCCGCCTGCCGATGCAGG